CTCGCTCTCTCTCTCTCTGTCTCCCATGCAGCCCCTACCTCTCTCTACCACCCTACCCCCCCCCACTCGCCAAATCAACAGATTGAGGAGTTGAAGCGGCTGCTGATTGGTCATTACGGCGCCGTCGGTTGATTAAAGGGACGCGCGCACGCGCGCGGGGACACGCGCCGGGGGCTCAATCTTCATCCCAAACGTTTCAATCAGCCGTTATTTTCAGGATCCAGCTGACTGCTTTCTTAAAGGAGAACACTGGGTTATCTGAAGACATTTTGGCAACAAGAACTATTCAGTGACATGGGTTGTTCCTGATGGCCTCTAATAAGCAGAAGCTGGCAAATTACAGCTGGTACCTGCAGCCCGCAGGTGTCACAGCTGAAGGTGTTGGGTTTAGCCTGTGGACATTTCTTCCAGACAGAATGACACTCTAAAATTCTAGATAATTAAAGACACACCGCGTGATTTTGTACTGCCTGCCCTACCAAATATTCTCCAAGCTCATAAAACTAAAGCTGCAGTAGGGTTAACATTTATAACAATGACCCGTTCTCATATTTGTTGAATTTTTCACTATCCTGACAGCAGTACATGAGACAGATAATCAATAAAAAAATCAAATGCTCTGGTTCCTCCTGGTGCTCCTAATGGCATTTGCAAGAACCACTGGGCCTGAATGAAAACCAATCAGAGTTGAGAAACATATAAAGATGCTTTGGGTTGGAGGCTTGAACATAGTGGATTGTTGAGTCTCATTCCCAGAGCATGTGTATTTGACACCATAGGAATGAGACTCAACAATCTATCTTATCTATGTGATTGGTTGTTTTTGTTCAGGCCCGGTGGATTCTTGCAAATGCCATCATGGGAGGCTTGGAAGAGGAACAGGACATTTCAGCAAATATCCCAAAAAATATTTCATAAAAATGATCTACTGCAGCCCCCATACCTTCCATACATGAATAAAGACATATTTGCAATTTATATGCTTGGAAGATTAATGTGTGTAAAAAAGTATAATTTCCACATTTCCACTCCTTCTACCTCGTTAAGACTTCCAGAATCTCTGAATATGCAAATGTTGTAAATTTCTAAAGTTTTCTTGCTGGA